GTGCCCCCACCTTGCTCCATTTTTGGGCCTCCTGGGCCTCAGGGAAGTCTCCTGGGTGAAGCAGTAAGACAGTGAGGGGGATCCCGCCACAGCTGATCATCGGAAGAGCTGATCGTCAGGAGGGGAAAAAGAAAGAAATACCTTAAAGGAGTGACTGGAATGCAGTCAGCGATGTCAGGCATGAGGGCGATGTCACGCATGCATGATAAGGACTGACTGGGAGGGGAGGGGAGGGGAGGGACGGGCGGAGAAGAGCGGGGCCAGCCCGGGGCATGATTTGTTTCTCTGAACCGCGCAGAATCATAACCGGTTCTATAGAACTGTTCCGAACCGGTAGAATCCCACCCCTGAACATGATACATTAACAGATTAACAGAGTTGGAAGGTACCATGTAGGTCATCTAGTCCAACCCCCTGCCCAAACAGGAGACCCTACACCATTTCTGACAAATGGCAGTCCAATCTCTTGTTGAAAGTCTCAAGTAATGAAGTTTCCACAACTTCTGAAAGCAACTTCTGTTCCCTGTCAAAAAGTTTCTCCTCATTCCAAGTTAAATCTCTCCTTCTTCAGTTTCCATCCCTTATTCCTTGTCTGGCCTACAGGTGCTTTAGAAAATAGCTTGACCCCTTTTTCTCTATGGTATTCATATTCTGAATATGAATGAGGGAGGTTTTGAAGACAATCCTGTGTTTGAGGCCTACCTAACCCTCCCAAAATAGCAAGTCACCATGTCTTCAGGAGTGTAGACATTTGTCAGGTTCTATCAAATCTGAAAGCTTTTTAAATGCGCGTTCAGCATACCAAACTTGGTGGTTGCATCCTTTGCAAATCAGACTCTTTGGAGATGTAAGAATGGTGAAACCAAATATCCTAAACGAGGAGAAAGAACAAGTATTTGGGAAATATTCGACACCCAAGTGTGGTGTAGGAATTTTTCACTGTAAGGCATGGCTGATTTTCAACGCTGCCTTGACCTTTGGTTTCTCTTTTGGTCACCTTTACTTTGTGTTTGTGTCTCCTTTAGCGTTCCTTCAGCATTGAGAATTGCGTCTTTAAACACACGCTGCTCGAAAACGCCTTCGACGTTTACGAGTCCCTCACGCACCATTTCCTGGTCAGCCTAGGAAATGTGAAGGGACAACTGGCTCCCAACACAAACTTACCGCGTTTTTCTCAGTTTTTAACCCGAAGGAATGAAATCCCCTTAAGCGAGTTCATCACGCCAAAGCCTCGGGAAGAAGACACCAGGGACCATGATGCCTCCAACCCCTGTGGGGGCATTTTGGCAGGACAGATGCCGGAAGACATACCATTTGTGCATGGCAGCATCCACCCCTGCCTCATGGACAGGGAGGAAGACAGAGATCCATTGAATGCCATTCTGAATGGAAAATTTAAGAGCCCCCGAACAGGTTCTTGAACCCGAGACGAGAACCATCAAAGAAAGCTAAATTCCGTTTTTTGTGGGGGGATGAATTGTTCAGAATAAGGGAGAGGTCATGGCTGTATACAGGTAATCCTCAACTTACAACAGGTTCATTTAGTGACCATTCAAAGTTACAACGGCGCTAAAAAAAGGGAGGGAAGAAACTTAGGAATGTTTTCCACCCTGACCAGCATCCCCAAGGTCACGTGATCAAAATTCAGATGCTTGGCCACTGTCTTGTGTTTGTGATGGTTGCCGGGACATGTGATCCCCCTTGGCGACCATCTGATGAGCCAAATCAGTGAGGAATCCAGGCTCCCTTAACAGCTGTGTTCCTAACTTAACAGCTGCAGTGATTCACTTAACAACTCTGGCAGGAAAAGACTTAAAATGGGGCAAAAGCTCGCTTAACAAATGTTTTCCTGAGCAACATAAATTTGGGGCTCAATTGTTCATCGTATCTCAAGGACTATCTTTAGGTGTCTTCCCGGTTCTATTCCCTGGTCTTACCTACCTGACTGACATACGTGGGTTATGAGGTGAGTTTTATATCTTTTTGTTCTATCGACAATTCAATGTTTAAGCTTCGCCCCTGTAATGCTGTACAGACAGTATATACCAAGGGTCTTCAAACTTGGCAAGTTTAAGACTTGTGGACTTCAACTCCCAGAATTCCTGAGCTAACATGACAGGAGGAAGAATCCTGGGAGTTGAAGTCCACAAGTCTTAAAGCTGTCAAGTTTAAAGACCCCTGGTATATAGAATCCTTGTTGTGCCATAGTCCACCCACAGCTGACTGACAGAGATGGCGAAGTTACCAATATCGGTTGAATCTTTGACTTGATTAGACTCTAAGTCAAAAAAGAATGCCCAGACCCTTTAAATAAGCAAAATCTGGGGATCAACAGTGGTAGAAAAAGAAAATAGGGTGAACAAAGGATGAGCAATTTATTTTTGTTCAAGGGGAAACATGTGAAAATGAGACTGTTGTGGAGGAGCAAGCCAAAACAGCATCTGACGTGACCTAATATCTCACAATATCCCAAAATGAGTAGAAGTTATCCAAGTCAGCTAGGATGATCTCATTGGATCTCAGTAGAACCCTCTCATGACTAACTTTAGCTGGATTCAGGATACTGACCCATCCTATCAACCTGTTGGCCAAAGGTAGGGCTTTGTGCAGGAAATGCCAAATCTTGCCATGGGCTATCTACAACCAGATAGAGGGGGATGGGAACATAAGGCTCCGTTCTGGGAGAATGGACTTGAGATGCTCCATAAAGCAGCTTTGTGGCTGTTAAAGGCATTAGGGGGCAGCCATCCTTCCAGGCTGGGGTTCAAATCCAGGTCAAGCAAAGCGAATAGGAGGAAGCCACACGAATTAGTTTACAATGATTTGCTAGGGCAAAAAAAAAAGATTATAAAATCCAATGTGACCCACTTAACAACTATAATGAACATTGTAATGTTTTTATTGAAGGTCCCAGTAGGGATGTATGTACCCTAAAGAAATAGGGGTGCTTTGATGGGAATTGTTCACAAGAACTTCCTGGAAAAGAATCAGACAATGAGAATGCAATATATGTATGCTTCTATTTATCTATTTATTTGGATTATTTACATATTGAAGATATATTTATCAGTATTCATGACATTTCTTATTCTGGCCCCCTCCAATTCTGTCTCATGAGGAAGACAAAATAAATGTTTCATGTTTTTCTTTTCATAAGCTTCAACACCAGGCTCCAATTGTTGATAGAAATCCAGAAGAATACCTGCAATAACAATCTCCCATGCTCTTCCCTCTATCTTATCACATAGCAATGTCCTTGAAAAGGAGTCTCAGTTCTTTCTTTCTCAGCTTTCTCAGCTTCGTCTGATCACAGGAAATAGAGCATTTCAAGCCTTTAGTTGGCAGTGTTACAAAGTTTCTTTGCTCTCACTTTCCCCCTCCTTTCCCAAGCAAAATGTAATAAAAATTACCAAAAAAAGGAATATATATATATATATATATATATATATATATATATATATATATATA